TCCCGCGGGGGCGGTGGTTTTGTCCGCCGCGGGGCCGCGCCTCGCGCCCGCTTTATATCTTAATTTTAGAATTGAACTATTAAACCTTCATTTACTCTATGGCCTCTACAGGATGGCTATAAGTGACATAAATGCAGATATAAAAGTAGATATAAAAAACACCAGTAACTTTTGTTACGGGATTTGTTTTTCGGGGCAGTAATTAGAAACGGGAGCCTCTGCTTTCCTCCGCAGCCCAGAAATGACCTTCGCGTAGCTCGAGTTGGGTTGCAATCCCGCCCTTGCTAAAGGAATAGCGTTGCTGGGGGCAATCTGCACGCAATGAGCTCCGACGGTGTTATGTTGTGCAAAAAAAAGCTTAATTAAAAAAGCTTAATTATCTTACTATTACTTCCAAGTATTTCCCCAACTATTAAAATGGCTCATTGGATGTTAAAAAAAATCATTCATAACACACTAGCAGCCCTTTTGTGAAAAGACCTGAGACAGGGGCCCCTTCTTCGTCCTGCCCTCAGCCATTTCCTGTGACTTAAGGGCAGCTGTTTTTTTGTCTACAAAAATTAAGGGCCTTCTTTGCATCGGCCCAAAAATCCACCTTGGTTGCAATCCACTTCCAATGCACATGGAATCCTTTCCCCACACTCTGGCCGCATCCCCAGAAGAGATGAGATATGGACAAAAGCACAATAGAGACAGAGATAAAAATAAGTATTTTATTTTGGGACTCTTAGTGTATTTACAATAGAAAATTTATTTCTGGTCTGGGACAAGAGACTAAAAAAAATAAATCCATGTTCACAAGCGTGTGAGTGGCCTGCACCTGACCCAGGCCATTTGTTTTTTGCTACTTCTGCTTCATCCCGGGCAATGCCTGTGAGAAAGCAATAGTATGAGCCCACAGGTGGGTTAAAATGTCTCTTAAACCTAAGCAGTATTGGCAGGCTGGAGTCTGGGAAGTAGTGTGAAGTTATACAACCGTTGCTAAAACAATGTATATGTACATAGTCCTTTTTGCAGTTAGATCAGATTCAGCGCATCCCTCAGACATAGGGGCAGATGGACACTAGCCTACTGACTTCTGTGCAAGCACAATTTGCAGGTGTACATCATGCTACCAGGTACATAGGTACCGTCTCATTCACGCACGCATAGCAGTGTGTGGGCCAGCAGCCAGGCTCCCGTTTTGTTAATGCTATTAACTTACACGAGGTGCTGGAAAGAACCTGAGAAAAAGCACCAATGCTCCCAACTGACACGCTGGCTTGAAATCCTTACTCCTCTTGAACCTGAGGCAAATGGGCAGCATGGAAGGGATGTTTTCTTATTTCTCACAGAGCCAGCACTTCCAAACCTCCATTACTCCTCTGCCATGGTGTGAGGGCTGAAGGTGCAGCTGACCTGCGGCAAAGCCAATGTGGAACTCGCAGACGCCAAAAAGGGCCAATTCTCTCACGCTCCCAGAAATAGGCATGTCCTCCCACCACTTCCCTCAAGTCCTATTTAGCAATCAAAGGGCTGCAATGTGAGCCAGTTCCACTATCTGATCTTGCAAAAAAAAAAAAAAAAAAACACCCACAAATCTGCAAAAATGTAAGGGACTACTTTACCATTTGAAAAGCTCAACCAAGTCACCCTACTGTTAAACTGCCACATGGTGTGGGGGGCAGGGGGACACCTGTTTCAGCAGCAACTTGTTCGTAGAGTAGCTAAGCTATTAAGTCATGTGGCACTTTGAGTTCCCCTCTGCATCTTGGTTGGAGTCCACAGAGCGCTTCCTTTACAAGGCGCTCTCCCCTATTGGAAAAGGGGTTGTTGTACAGACCTGTCTTGGTTTAAAGGTGTCAAACAACACGATGATTGACAAGGAAACTTCAACCTTCCTCTAGCATTATCTGGATGCTACCTCCAATAAATCTATTTTAGGAGGTTTAGAGAGGGAGTGAGCATGGGAAGGGGAAGAAATGAAGGGAGTTATGATCCTCTTAAGAGTCACGGGGCAGGGGGAACTAAAGCAGAAGTAGATTAAGGATGGCTGTGGAGGCTGCAAGGTTGAAGAAAGTTCTGGTTTGGCAATGCCTCTTGAATAGCTTCGCTGCAACCGCTCAGCTCCATCTGGTTGAGGACGCAGCTTATACGCTCAACAGTTGCTGCATGGCCCATCTGCAGTTTCCACAGTCTAAGCATTTCATACTGGGCATCTCGTATGCGCCGATGCTCCATCTCAATTCGCTCTAGATCATAGTCACTGAGCCCCAGACGCCTCACAAACTCTTTCCACCGAGATGGCGGCACATGATCCACCACAGTGTAGAGAATTGCTGGGTCTGAAAGAAGAAAAGAAAGCAAGCGTGAGAACTGGAATCCTGCAGCCTGGAGAACATGGTGAACCACCCACTGCTGGGTGGTGCCTTGGGATTGCCAACTGCCCCTCCTGTTCAGCCCTTCTGCAGAGCTGTCACATAGACCCTCGTGACATCCAGACTCATTCCTACTCCCCTGCAGTGGGTTAGCCTCCATATGTTCTCCATACAGGCCACCATCCCAGAGGCACGAGACAGGCAGCGTGCCAGCACGCATGGCAGTTCATTCTGCTGGCAGGTGGAAACAGCATGAGGGCCACTGGCGCGTGGCTGATAGCTCGGGGCCTGCTCTGCCTTCGGGCTGCGCATGAAGCACACGTGTGTCACAGACACCTGTCAGTCTCACCCACACATCTTCAGAGGCAGGTCTGCACAGCCGCGCTCCCCCTTGCCTGGGGATGGGTGGGGAGCTTCACTCACTGTCTGGGAGCTGCGTCGTCCTGGCAGGTCTGACACAGTCTGGGAGTTCCTGCGAACTTTGCGGCATTGGTGCTGCTGGTGGTATTGCGTTCACTAACAAAACTGTTTCCTGTGGAGACTCAGGAAGAATGATGGAAGTCACGTTCCTTTCTACCTCAACCTGAAAGATATAAGGTTTTTACTTTGGCATCACTCCACAACAGCACAATGAACCTGTCTCCCGTAAGGAACCACACTACTTTATATACTGCAATGTAACCAAGATAGCAGTGCAGCAAATGCTGAGACTTTAATCCTCCCTGTGTGCCTTGTTTGAGCAGAAGGCACCAAAAATTTCCTTTTAGCACAAACTAAGGAGTTCAACTCTTTTGACACCAGAAAATGGTCCTCTGGAAAAGTGCTTCTTCGTAAAATTGCATCAGGCTAGAAGCCTGATTCATCACTATTCTAGAAGCTTTGTGTGCTACCTTTACATCATCCTTTTCCATACGACTGTGGAAACAACATGCTGATTATTGCCTGGGCCCTCTTAACTGCAGAACAGTATTGGACCTGAGGGAACACCATGAAGCAGCACTGGGAGGCTTGTGGGGCCAAGATATAAAGTGAAATTCAGCGAGTTAAATCCTCTCAGTTAACAATCAGATGTCTGGAACAAAACAATGCATGCAGAATGAAAACAGCACAAAAGAGCTTGAAAAACAACCACTAGTAGCAAGGAACAACACCTAGAAGGAGGGTCTTTCAGTTAAACAGCCCTCAGCATGTTTGAAAGTACAAGCCCTGAAACAGCCCCAAGAAACAGTGTTATTCTGGCTTAAAGGTTCACATGGTTGAAATCTAAAGGTAGAGGGTATGCTCTTGTATCCACCATGTTACTCACCTCAGATGCTGGCTCCCTGCTCATGTTTGACAAAGCAACTTTAAAGAGGAAAAAAAAAAGACAAAAAAAAATTATTTTCACTTCTTCTGTTCCCAGAGAGAAAACAAGCCTGACCTCACAAGATTTTATAGCAAAACGCCCATCTCCCAGCAATGAATTTAAATGCTCTTCCAGGCACAGCCTGGGTGTGGATGCGGAATTGCAAGAACTGCACTGGTAGGTTTTAGCTGTTGAGTAATCATGTTCCTCTGGCTTTGCACCAAAGCAGAGTAATGGCATCCCACTCATCCTTCATGCACACTGCTGTCCATCCCAGTTAGAATCACCTCATAGTCTGCTATACTCACCACAGGAGTAGAAAGAAGAGACTACCCCATTTTCCTGAACCATCTTCACCACTTTATTTACAACGCAGAGGACAATGATAATTCCTAATATTGCAATGATGATGTGAAGGAAGAGGATGCCATCTGGACAAAACAAAGATGACAAATGAGTGAACGAGAAAGGAAGAGATAAATGCAAATGCTAGAAAAATGCTAGAAGTGCTAGAAAAAGAAATAAACCCATGCAGATGTTAAGAGAGAAAATGAAAGAATACTGGCTGGAGAGAGAGCAGAGAAAGCAATAATGAATTAACACAAGAAGCTGACAAAACAAAAGCACACACTGAAGAAATCCCCCAGTTTCTCTAATACTCACGTGGTCCAGACGGGGTCGGTGAGGCAGTCACTCGGCTATGACAGTGCAGGCACTCTTCTTCAATGCAGCTGAAAGATCACATCAGAGACGTGAGCGTGCGTGCAGCGAGACACCAGCCATTTGTGACAACCCTAGGAAACAGACAGGCCAACCTGCGCCTGCAAAGCAGAGCCAGACACTATTTCTACCAACCTCTGGTTCTTAAGTGCTTTGATGCATGCATGGGGAAGGCCTGTGGGGGGACCCCATTCCTCAGAAGGCTGATGTTTTGGAAAGTTATGTCAAGATGGACAGAGCTTTAAGGAAAATTCATTCCTCACAAGTCACTACACCTGCTGGGTTGGTGTCTGCTGTCTCTCCCGCTGAAGGCATACAGAGACAACCACTCACCTT